TGACGAATTAAATTTCTAGTATTTTAATTGAATTTGTACAAAAACACAATTCAATTAAAATAAATTTGTGACCACTATTTTGTGTGCACGATTACTCAAAATTGAACAGTCCAATTTCTTTCAAATTTGACACAGTCAGAGGTCATTATCTTAAGACGTGACAGGAACATTTTCAAGTTCATCAAAATATCGTGACGTCATCCAGGCGCCATTTTGTGAAGTACTCTGAAAGTCAACTCATGATCATATCTTCATAACCGTAAATCATTTCTCATTCTTATTTATAACGATTAAGGTCAATATCCGTCCGGTCAACTTGAGGTCAATAAACGCGCGCGTACGCGTACGTTCGTACGTTGGTGCGCGCAAAAATAAAAAATGCTCATAATCACTTTTTAATCAAATTAGAGTACGTTTTAGGCCATTTCAAGCATTTCGAAAATTTTGCGTGCGCACACCTTTGCGCGCGCATAAATTTGCGCGCACGTTTTTGTTCGTAATGATCGAACGCAAACTAAAATCGTCATTTTTTGTCTATCATAGTATTGCCCATTTTTTTCCGAACAATTTGATACCATGTTTATCTCTTTATGACCATTAATAACGAAATGAGCGTCCGTTTAAGGTAAATGTCTCTGCGTGCGAGCTCTTGTAATACATAGCATATATGGTCAAAAACATGCCTATATGAAATACATTATAGCTCTTTAGGATGCAAGTTGACCCCACATTTTTTTGCGTGTCAAACTCGTGAGAAACAATCGAGCCAGTTGTTAATAACATCGCGCACCAGCTGCTGGTGACAATGACAATGTAATGCGCACCATGCACGAACTCTATTGTGACGTCACAATCAGACCCTTTGCACACTATTTGCAGTGTATCGAAAATTCGTCAAGCACTGGATGCACAGTGCTTGTTTGACGATGTTTTTGCAACTTCTAATGCTAGGAAATCCTGTGGAGTGTAGGCTACATAATTTATAAGATAGTAATTTATAATTGATAATATAGTATAAGATAGTAAGAGTTTCTTGTTTGCTCTAGATATCTGATGTGGTTAATAATAGAAATATTTACTGCCTAATTCAGGGCAATACGACTTGCCATATATCATCCTCACCTTAGGTTCAGGCGATATACGTCATATTGCCCAGAAGGCAGTCAATATTACTTAATTATGCATCATCATAATTGCTCAATATTTTGTTCATCAGTTAAGCTCATCAGTTTAGTTCAGTTCATCAGTTCATCCGTTTAGCTCATCAATTCAGTTCATTTTACATCAGTTCAATTTATCAGTTTATCAGTTTATCAGTACTTCATTCATCAATTCATATCTTAATACATAATTTTACATTAATATCAATTTATAAATTAATTGAATTGAAGATGAGCATGATCATAAGAATTGAAGACAGACCACCTAATTCGTCCCCATGACGAATTAAATTTCTAGTTTATTATTATTTCTTTATTTTTATAAAAAAAACAAAAAAACTCAAAAGGGGGGGGGGGGGTTCCGAAAAACATACAAAAACAAACCATCAAGGGGGGGGGGGGGGTGAGGTTTAACCCCCATCCCCCCTGCGTACGTGCCTGGTGTTTGTTGCACTAATTTTACGTTTTGAACGATTAAAATGTTGTTGTTTTTAGTAATCCCAACTTTTGCCTGGAAATAAAAATTGGGTAATTATCATGCTAATTCTCATCCAATCGAAATCTATATCGTCCTCGGATTCATACCAGGGACTTTTAGATTGAGTGGACGAGAACGACGTAAACGTCCACTGATCATGCATATCTATGGCAAGCTGTTTTAACATTTATTCCTATTTCTTGATATCATGAATTACCTTTGCTTAACAACAGAAAATCATTTATTGATATCAAGAATTACCATTGCTTTACAACAGAAAATGATATATTTTCCACCCAAAATTGAATTCTTTATCACGAAATAGGAATACATTTTAAAATAGCTTGCCATGGACACGCATGATCAGTGGACGTTCACGCCGTTCTCGTCCACTCAATCTAATAGTCCCCAATCATCTTGTGTTGAGACGCGGCGATGGCGTTCAAATGTCAGTCATTTTTAACGTAGGATATCTTTTGCGCCATGTCTGTCAGAAGTTGACAAATGCATGTATGTTTTTTATATATTTAAACGCATACAGACTAACAATGCATACTCACTGCAAACAGACTAACAAGAGATCTTCGATCATGTAAACGAATTGAATGTGTTTATTGGTCCTCCTATTCTGACAAAAACTAATGGTATATTATACACTCCAAAAAAAAAAGTGGCGCAAAATTGAAACAGTTATTGAGTAAAAAGGGGACACGCTTGTTTGTTGGGGAAACTTTTCCTGACATTAGGTAAGATTTTAACCATCGAATAGAAAACCATGTTCTCCTGTAATCCTTTTCTAGATAAAATGTATCCACCCCCCCCCCCCAGGTAGATTATTTGATAGTTAAAATAACGCCTTTTCCTTGTAATATCAAAAGCGCTGCACTCTTTAAGATGTCGCCATAAGTCTAGGAGACTTTATCCATATCTCTTCACTAAAAAGCTGGATTCATTGTTATTACTGATCGCATATGTTGGAGTAATTGTATTCAAGATATGTATTGATGATATGTGTGAATACCAGTTTAAACCGGGTTGTTCATTTTCATTGTCTTTGTATATATGGATATGAGGAGCAGTTTAAACCGGTTCCGATGGCATGTGATTACGAAAGATCTGCATCTAGAATGAGCATTAACTATTAAATAGAATTTTTCTAACCGGTACATAACTGGCCTATCAATGTACAAATTTTAATCTTATGATTGTCTAAGGCATTAACATATTAAAAATAGTTCAATATGTAAAGATGATGCAACAGTCTGGAAGAACTACCTCTAGATATAAATGAAATAAATAATTTTAATGATTTTAAATTGTTACTAAAGGGGCATTATTAGTTTAGCAGTTGAGTACTCGGAGTGTTGATCATTATGTCAATGTTTGTATTCGTATTTGTATTCACAATTTATTTATTATTATTCATCTTCTTCCATTGAGTACAGTCCTCTTTGTAGAGTATATACGTACTTATTGTGTACATGGTAAATTAATATTTTGTTTGAAAAGCAGCAATGTAAAAGCATCAACGTATTTCAACTCTTCTCTCTCTCTCTCCTTCTCTCTCTCTCATCCCAACTGTTAATTTACACTTTCCTTCCTATCCTGTCGCCTTCTCCATCTTTCTCTCTCTCTCTCTCTCTCGGTACTAATATCTCCCTTAATGTATTTATTGTTTTCATTCCTTTATGTCTCTCACCCAGTGTCTCTCTTTGTTTTTCTTGCTTTAATTGTATTGTCTTTGTTTGACCATTTTGCCATAATACATATTTGTTTCGTACGTCCTAAATCTATGTCTTCATCGCATATTCACCTTAGACACTTTTTGATTTTAACCCTATCGTGACAATCATTCCACCCTTTGAGGTTTGGCTCAATAACTTCTGATTTAGAGCCTTAGAAAATATGCGAGACGTATGAGTGGAAAGGCAGAAAATCATACCTACATTTCATCTATTTTTTTCTCACGACTATAACATGCGTTTGATGCCAGGAATATTAAAACAAAGAACCGAAAATGAGCGTTAAAATCCTTGAATTGGCAACACGTTTAAAGATTTAAAGTCGTTGTTTTCCGACTAAAATCTAGATTTTTTTTCTTTCTACGGCAATATTCGCACCCATTTACTTTTTTTTTCGGAGAACATGCATTTTATTTGAACAATGTAGCAATATAAGAAAATTGTTTTTGTTGCCAATTTAGAGGAACAGTATATCATCAATTGAGCCCAGTTTGTCTCGGAATGGTGAACGACACAGCACGGGGGGGGGGGGGGGGAGGGGGAAGGGGGGGGGGGAATGATTGAAAGTTAGAAGAAATACAAAATAAGAAAGATTTGAACTTTTAAATCTATCACGGTCACTCAATTTTGTCATTTATTGTTATGATGCTCTTATATTAGGTATAGCACACCAAAAATAAGTACAACAGACACATGTTATCTGATGTTTGCAAATGATCAAGCTTTATAAAAGCTTCAAAAAACAAATAAACATAATTGAAATCGGTCAATGCGTTGTGATTTTATATTATTTTTTTGATATCGCAAAATTTTCGAAAAACCTGCCAGAAATGGTCAAATTGGCAAAAATGGCAAAATTCGACAAAGTTGACAACTTAATTCATCACTTTCTGGGATACAAATAATAAATTAAACTATCAGACACTAAAATATCATATTTGTGGTAAAAACTACAAAAAAGAAAATTCATATACCTATTACCGTTTTGAAAACAGAAGCCAACAAAATAAGTCATTTTTGCCATTTTGCGAATATGCAGATATGAAAAAGTTGTGAAAATAACTAGACTAAGTCCGCCTAATTAATATGCGCATATGTAATCAAATCAAAACCAAACATGATACATCAGTGAAACCTATGTATATCAGACAGGTGTGGAAATTTATTTCATTTGAAATATTAAAAAATCATGAAAAAAACCAATTAAACCTGTGTTTACTAATGTAATGCTTATGTTTTTAAAGAAAGGATTCTCGTGAAAAAACTCCATCTTATATATCAAGTACGGATACAGAATTCGATCACCGTCGATCACATCAGAATTTCTGGCTGCAACCTGTTACGTATTAAATCTTGACACCGATACTTCCAAGCATCAGTTCCATAACTCAAGACAATTCTCTATATTTATGATGTTGAGAAAACAAATCAATGATTGTTTTTCTTTATTGTCATGCAGTAATTGTGTTGTACGGAAATGTTATTATATCATATAATTGGTTTACATACACGCAACAAGCCTAGCTTTTAAGTAGGTACACTTTTCAATTCCATATTTTATGATTTACAGAACAATCTTTGCTGTTTTTAACCCGTTGACTACTGCATTATCTAATTCCCATAGACTTAACACAGAGACCACCAGGTTCCAGTAAGCAATGGGTTAAATTACTCTGATTCAGGATTATTTACTTCAATACATGCATAATATAAAGAAATATCGATTTTTTTTTTGGTGTGTGAAATCTATTGTGCTTTGTAATTTCGGCATGGAATATGAATAATAGTAAAGTATTAAATTATGTCCGTTTATTAACGGATAAAAAGCTACCTGTACATACTTATCTTCACTTTGTATAAGCTAAGAATATGGAAAATGTTTTGCTTTAATTTTATGTATTAAACATAGGTAATTACTATTATTAGTATAATTATCAGCCTCCAGGGTTGTCGGTTTTGCATGTTGTCGATTTTGATGATTATCGGTGTTGTAGTTTGTTGCTCGACCACGAATTATCACTCAAGCGCATCTGTCGGAGGAAAGCAAGAAGATGTAATTTATTTACAATATTGTTCCATTTGCAGCCATCGACTGAAATGATTGAATTGATAGGTAGATTCACCCTCATTATATTTGTTTTACCACTCCACACTTGCAGATTAATTAATCTTTGTTTCGCTTTGTGCTTAAAAATTTGATATACGTATGTAGGCCTATTACATAAATATAGGATTATTTTTTTTAGGGATCCACATTTTACGAGCCCTACTTCTTGGTGGATCCCTCCGTTTCCACATTTTTCATTAAAATAAGCATTCATTATTTACAGCAAATGTAAACGTTTTCTTTGCAGATTCATTTAATGAATTGTAAAGTGCATCAAATCAAAGCACATGGATTTATGCTGCGTGAGAACTGAAAATAAAAACCGGAATCGAATCTGAAGCTTAGACCATGTTTTTAGCCAATTTGATGACATCATCAAGAAATAAGATAGATCAGTGACATTTTAGGTCCCTCTTAAAAGAACCGAAATGCTAACGTCAAGTTCGCACCTCGTCCAGGTTAATGGTTCTAATCAACTGAGCCTGCGCATGAGGTTCACCGCAGAAGCATTCAAGCGACGGGCTAGAGCAGGGCAAATTCAGTGTTAGGGCGCTTGTGTGATCACAACAACGACATCCACCATTGCTTAGCATCAACTTCTTGGGAACCAGTAGCCTTGACTACCTGGCCAATATGTCCGCAAAGTTGGGTACTCTTTAACAAAAAACCTCTAAATACATTCCATTTCTTTCCACCGATTGACGTTTAATTTGGATTGATAAAGCGCCTTTTTGAGAGGTCACTGGGGACTACCCTTTGTCGAAAAGAAAATTATTGTAGAGGTATGTTTTCAGATGCTTTCTGCAGTTCAGGGAGTTTGTTTATAGGCGTGATGCTACACAATGGAAGGACTTGGAGGAAGTATGCTTGACATAGCATTAATGCGATACTTAACTTTCTGCCCGAGTGTGCTGTTTATTGCCATCTCATGGCTAACTTACTATCAGTGCTAAACCCAATACATAATGTCCTTGGAGGAGGTGTGCTTGACATAGCATTAATGCGATACTTAACTTTCTGCCCAAGTGTGCTGTTTATTGCCATCTCATGGCTAACTTGCTATCAGTGCTAAACCCAATACATAATGTCCACTTCGCCGACAGAGGGCGTGCTGCAAGAACCAACAGCGATACGGGACAATAATACTACAGCTGACCTGAGATGGCGCTAGAGGTGATTTTAGGAAGTGTTTCTAGTATAGTATGACTTCGTATAGTATTCTCTCACAAGATGAAAGCAAGTGTGGTTCGGTTTACAATATTGTACTTACCTTACCCATTCACCGTCTATGAGGCAGGCTAAAAGAAAATGCAAAGTATAATGGCAATATGATTAATAATAATAATAATAATAATAATAATAATAATAATAATAATAACTAGAAATTTAATTCGTCATGGGGACGAATTAGGTGGTCTGTCTTCAAGTCTTATGATAGATTATAATATTTACTATAATGAGAAAGGGAAAAGTTATATAGACATGTAAACAATGATGATCATCATGATGATCATGATGATGATCTTGATAGTAATGGTGATGACGATGATGATGATGATGATCATGATGATGTTGATGATTATCATCAACAGACCACGATGACATCAGACTGAAAAAAAAATGAGAGAACATTTAGATAGTATATAGTCTCAGCTACAACATACTCAAAAATCAACAAAAATCAAGCCGAAATAACGGCGATATTGCTCGCAAAAGACAAGAATGTAGAATCCAGATTTGAGAAAAAGTCATCTTCCATAAGGATTACACGCAAAAAGTAATGGATCTAGTGATAATAGGGTAATAATAAAGTAAATATGGTTGTTTATTACATTATTTGCGATTGTACGTGTTTTAATATTCAAAGGAGATGGTAGAGTGAAAGGTCAAAAAGAAAAAAAAGTGAAGAAAAAAATTGTTGGAGACGCCCGGACTCGAACCAGGGACCTCGAGGTCGGAAGTCAAGTGCGTTACCGATATACCAAAACATTTCCCTTAGAGATTACACGTAAACGGAAAATAGAATTATCAAATCCCACTTTGTAAGTGAAATATGAGCATGATCCCGGCATCTGATCGAAAAATAAAGGGCACACTTGTGATAGCTTATTTTCTCAGCTACAACATACTCAAAGCTCAGCGTAAACGAAGATAAAACGACGGAGATATGGGTCTGATTGTGACGTCACAATAGAGTTCGTGTATGGTGCGCATTTTGTTATACGCGTAATATACATTGTCATTGTCACCAGCAGCTGGTGCGCGATGTTATTTACAACTGGCTCGATTATTTCTCACGAGTTTGACACGCAAAAAATTGTGGGGTCAACTTGCATCCTAAAGAGCTATAATGTATTTCGTATCTATAGGCATGTTATGCTATGTATTACAAGAGCTCGCACGCACAGACATTTACCTTAAACGGACGCTCATTTCCTTATTAATGGTCATAAAGAGATAAACATGGTATCGAATTGATCGGAAAAAAATGGGAAATACTATGATAGACATAAAATTAATATTTAAGGTTGCGTTCGACCATTACGAACAAAAACGGGCGCGCAAATTTATGCGCGCGGAAAGGTGTGCGCACGCAAAATTCTCGAAATGCTTGAAATGGCCTAAAACGTACTCTAATTTGATCAAAAAGTGATTATGAGCATTTTTTGGTTTTTGCGCGCACCGACGCGCGGACGGACGCGTACGCGCGCGTTTATTGACCTTAGTTGACCGGACGGATATTGACCATAATCGTTATAAATATGAATGAGAAATGATTTACGGTTATGAAGATATGATCATGAGTTGATTCTCAGAGCACTTCACAAAATGGCGCCTAGATGACGTCATGATATTTTGATGAACTTGAAAATGTTCCTGTCACGTCTTAAGATGATGACCTATAACTGTGTTAAATTTGAAAGAAATTGGACGGTTCAATTTTGAGTAATCGTGCACACAAAAAAGTGGTCACAAGTTTATTTTAATTGAATTGTGTTTTTGTACAAATTCAATTAAAATACTAGAAATTTAATTCGTTACGAAGACGAATAAGGTGGTCTGTCTTCAAGTCTTATAATAGATTATAATATTTACTATATTGAAAAAGGGAGAAGTTATATAGACATGTAAACAATGATGATTATGATGATGATGATCTTGATAGTAATGATTATGATGATGATGATCATGATGATGTTGATGAGGATGATTATCATCATTATGATAATGATGATGATCATGATCATGAGCATGATTCTGACATCTTATCGGAAAAATGAGGGGTGATTTAGATAACATATAGTCTCAGCGACAACATACTAAAATTTAGGAGAAAACTGTTGAATAATAACCGAGATACTGGTCAAAACACATTGTCATGCAGATTCATGTTTTGAAATAAGTGACCTCCCATAGACATAACACGCAAATATGACAAATTATGCATTGTCGCCTTTAATCGAATATTTTACTATGATGACGTCATCTAAATGAAAAATAAATGGCGTATTTCTGATAGAGAATTATCTCAGCTACAACATATCAAAATCTGGGAGAAAATTGATCACCGATAAGTGAGATAATCTCAATTAAACAAAGACAAAAATGACGTCATCAACAAAATACATTTGTTTGAGTTTAGATGCCAATATGATGACTTTATTTCACTTTGTACGAGTCAGGGTGGTATGAAATTATATCTCCAACTCATGCTTTCTCCAACCATGATATAAAAATTGGGGGTCGATGGACTATCTGAAGAGCTATTTCGATTTATAAAGTAGCATGTTTTTGATCAAATTTACATTATAATTCCCTTAGCAGCACGCGCGGAATTTGAACTTTGACGCGCGCTCACGGCCTTATGAAAGGTCAAGAGTGACTGAAATTAATGTAAATTGTCATTTACGGTAAGAGCAATCTAAATCATGTAAACAAATTGAATTTGACCTTTTCCGCGCGTTGTGAGCGCGCGCACCGCGCGCGGGGACAAGTACGGACGGAAAATTTTGAAATGCTTCAAATGACCTGATTCGTACTCTCCTTTAGTAGTTAAGTGATTTTGAGCAATTTTAAATTTTGACGCGCACATACGCGCGCGTCATGACCTTTATGTGACCTTTGATGACATGACTTGTTGACCCTTGACCTGAAGTATATGTGATATGAATATGAATGACCTTTGCTGATGCATCATGAAGATATGATGGATAACGTGATTTCACAAAATGGCGCCTGGATGACGTCACGATAACCTAATGACCTTGAAAATGTTCCTGTCACGTCTCATTACAATGACCTCTAATTGTGCCGAAATTTAATGAAATTAACTAAACCAAACTTGAGTTATCCGGGCCACAAAAAACGGGGAGAAATAAAAATAAAGAATAATAATAATAATAATAATAATAATAATAATAAAGAAAATTCTGACGAAATCAATAGGTGGTCTGTTGATAACAGACCACCTAACTAGATTTTAATTCGTCACGAGGACGAATAAGGTGGTCTGCCTTCAAGTTATATAGACATGTAAACAATGATGATCATGATGATGATCATGATGATGATGATCTTGATAGTAATGGTGATGACGATGATGATGATCATCACGATCATGATGATGTTGATGATCATCATCAACAGACCATGATGACATCAGACTGAACAAAATGAGAGAACTTTGAGATAGTATATAGTCTCAGCTACAACATACTAAAAAATCAACAAAAATCAAGCCGAAATAACGGCGATATTGCTCGCAAAAGACAAGAATGTAGAATCCAGATTTGAGAAAAAGTCATCTCCCATAAGGATTACACGCAAAAAGTAATGGATCAAGTGATAATAGGGTAATAATAAAGTAAATATGGTTGTTTATTACATTATTTGCGATTCTACGTGTTTTAATATTCAAAGGAGATGGTACAGTGAAAGGTCAAAAAGAAAAAAAGTGAAGAAAAAAATTGTTGGAGACGCCCGGACTCGAACCAGGGACCTCGAGGTCGGAAGTCAAGTGCGTTACCGATATACCAAAACATTTCACATAGAGATTACACGTAAACGGAAAATGGAATTCTCTAATCCCACTTTGTAAGTGAAATATGAGCATGATCCCGGCATCTGATCGAAAAATAAAGGGCACACTTGTGATAGCTTATTGTCTCAGCTACAACATACTCAAAGCTCAGCCTTAACAAAAATAAAACGACGGAGATATTGCTCGCGAAAGACGAGAATGTAGAATCCAGTTTTGAGAAAAAGTCATGTCCCATAGAGAATACACGCAAAATGTGAAAAATTGACATGCCTCCTTTAATCGCAAAAATACGCCATGATGCCTTTGTCAAAATGAAATATTGTGGTTACTGCATTTGTAGAGAATATTCTAAGGTAGAACATATCAAAATTTGAAAGAAAATTGATCAACATTTGCAGAGATACAATCAATTTTCCAAAAATCTGCTGACGTCATAATATGAAAATTAAAATTTTGAGTTCGGAGGCCATTATGATGACGTCATGAGTTAATTGAGGGTCAAATGAAACATGAAATCATATCTCCGATTCATACTCTATCAAAATATGAAAAAAAACTTGGGGTCACCTTGCATCCTAAAGCGCTACAATGGATTTTGTACAGGCATGTTTTTGCCCATGTATGCTATGTATTACAAAAGCTCGCGCGCACGGTAATTATCTTAAACGGACGCTCATTCCGTTATTAATGGGCAAAAAAAGTTGAACAAGGTATCAAAATGCTTGAAAAAATGTGCCAAATATGATGACAGAAAAAAATTGGCGATTCTACGTTGCAAAATGCAAGTACGCGCGAAAACGCGCGCGCATGTCCGTGCGCGCGTTTTTTTTGCAAAATGCTTCAAATGGCCTGAAACGTATGCAAAATTAATTTTAAACGATTTAGAGCATTTTTATTTTTTGCGCGCGCGCTGACACGCGGACGTACGCATGCGCGCGCGTTTTTTGACCTGAAATTGACCGGACGGATATTGACCTTAATCATGATAAATATGAATGAGAAATGCCTTTCCGTTATAAAGATATGATCATGAGTTGAAAGTACAAAAAAAAACACAAAATGGCGCCTGGATGACGTCATGAAGACTTGATGATATTGAAAAGGTTACTGTCACGTCTCATGACAATGACCTATGACTGTGCCAAAATTGAACGAAATTGATCAAACTGATCTTGAGTTATCCTTTACACAAAAAAGTGGGGAGAAATAAATAAAAATAAAGAATAATAATAATAAAGAAAGAAAATTCTGACGAAA